TGCTGAATCCATGGTTTAATCACTACACCAGAAGTGATCACCCACATGTTTCCAGAGTCTTCCGGTACATCGCAACCAGGAAGACGTTTGGAAACATGCGATGACAACTTCTGGTGGGCTTTGCAGTCGTAACTCTGACAAAATTTTGGAAAAATTTGAAAATGTCCCAGTTTTCTTCATCTCTATGTCATTGTAGCGTTCTGTTATGTTCGGCTCATCAACATACCTCAGTTTTCATCATTTTCATAATAATGAATAAATAAATAATATATAATTTAGAATAATTTATAATGCATTTATCTCAGCTGTCTGGGAGAGACATCGAGTCCCATGGAAAGTTTTGTCAGGTTGTGAAGACGCTGCTGCTGATTCCATGATTTTATCACACGTCCAGTGTCGTTAACTACACCAGAAGTCGTCATCCGCGTGTTTCCAAACGTCCTCAGGTACGTCGCAACCAGGAAGACGTTTGGAAACATGCAATGACAACTTCCGACGGGCTCTATTCGCAATCGTAAATCTGCCAAAATGTAGAAAAAATGAGAAAATGTCTCAGTTTTCTTCATCTCCATGTCACTGTAGTGTTCCGTTATGTTCGACTCATCAAAACAATTCCAACCACACCTCAGTTTTCATCATTTTCCTACTGAAGCACAACTCCGAGTGCTCTGGGTACATGTGATTAGAAGAGATGAGGCGCCAAACTCCAGATGATTCCAAACAGCACATACGTCTGCAGACTTCATTTTACCACTGAGCACGTTTACTTCAGTGGGTTTGATCACAGAGTCCAGTGTCGGGAACTGCACCGAAAGTTGTCAACGCATGTTTCCAAACGTCTTCTCTGGTCTGTGACATAAGCGTGAAAGAGTCTGTAATGGTTATTGTGGTAAAAACAATAATCATTCATGGGACATTTTTATATAATCGTGACAATCGATCGAAACAAAGAGAATCGTCATTATATCAGCAGAGTTTTTATCATGTCACCAGTTTTCTCCCACTTCTTTTTGCTGTTTCTCCAATGGCTCATGACGAAAGCTTAAGAACTTAAAAAGTGCACCGCAGTGAAATATTAAACAAAGTCAGACAAAAATTAAACTGCAGCCACTGGTTCGTTTCACTCACATCTGACTAACTTTGACTTGAAGTGATGCAATGATTGTGTTCTCTTTCAGGTGTTGATAAACCTGCTGCAGAGGAATAAAACCTCCAGATCTCAACTTAAAAAAACAAAAACAAAAAACACTTCATCTCTTTTTACTGTGAAGAATTAAAATGGAAGAAAAAGACTCAGTTTATTCACCCATGTTGTTGTTTTACGCTCAAATAATAAAACACACTAAACCCCCTCCACACTGTGTGTAAATGCACTTCTGTCAAACCTGAGTTCTTTACCTGAAAATAAAGCAAATATATCAGCAAAATGTTCCTTTTACAGACGCACTGTGAAACTTTTCTGCTGGAGGGTCTGTTTCCTGCTTGTCTCCATGGAGATGTTATTGCTTTGCCTGGAATGCTCCATGTTATGACATTAAACATATTCATCTAACATTTATTCATTACAGGTGTTTCCACTGCTCAAAAATACAATAATTCTCTCTGTGAACAGCGGCGCATCTCCACAGATCTGACCTGTAATGTAGCCTAAAGTTGAGATACACTGCAAGAAACGCTTGGCCAAATGTATTTATTCATTTATTTATTGATTGATTGATTTGATTGGGACAGAGCATGTTAATGAACAAACATGACAACATGAATGTAAACACACTGGATTGTAGCCTAGGCTAATTTCCATCCGTTGTCCCAAATTTTAAGATATCAACACTTAACTCTACAAGAAAATGATTTAAAAGCAGTGAAATGATCTGTCCATGCAGCAAGATCATTTTATTTGACAAGTTCTGTTAAAATAAATAACCTCGAGACTAGAATGAAGCATCTCAAAACGAGTCAATAGATCATAAATCTGAAAACAAGATGAAAAACCTGATATAAGTTGTAAATCTTTGATAAATTTCCAGTGCAGATATGTTTAATCTCTACTGTGGAACCTTCTAACCACAACAATAACATCTCCTTGAAGATAAACAGGTGACGGATGCTCCACCAGAAAAGTTTCGCAGTGCACCTTTAAGTAGATTTTAATAATTGTTCATTAGATTTTAATTTCCAACTTGAATTCTGGAACTATCAGTCTATATTAATTCTGAAAGGCAAATTTTCTGCTCAGTCTGCATTTTACCACATCGTTTAGTTAATCTGGAACTTTACAAATTTAAAACTTACATTAATTATATACGTATAAGTTAGGGTCACTAGATTTTCAACATAAAAATCTGGCACATCCCCCATTTTTTTGGTGGTTCTTTGTATTTTGATCATTTTTAAAGCAGATTTTCTATATATTTTAACCAAACAAATGACAGTTTATGCCTCTTTTTACTGTTGGCACATATAAAATTGGTCAAAAATAGAGACACCTGGGACATTTCATGCATAAAACTCAGACAAATCACTGGTTTTGGATAAGTTTTTTGGGACAGGGGACACAGGGCTCAAAACTGGGACTGTTCTGGGTAAATACAAACGTCTGGTCACCCCACTTTAAGTTTATTTTAACAATTGTTCATTACCTTTTAATTTCCACGTTATATTAATTCTGAAAGTAAGTTTAATTCTCTGCTCAGTCTGCATTTTACCACACCGTTTAGTTAATCTGGAACTTTACAAATTTAAACTCACATTAATTATATACATATAAGATAGAATGACCAGATTTTCAATATAAAAAACTGGGACACTCTCAGTTTCTAGTGGTTAGTAATAATAAAATTGTGAAACAAATGCGTAATTCAGGAAAACTGTTCTGCAGAGACCAATCAGGACTAACGTGAGTCAGTTTAGTCACATTTTCTTAGTGTTTTGGTCGTTTTTAAGCAGATTTTCGGTATTTTACCTAAACAAATGACAATTTATGTCTCTCTTCACTGTTGTCAGGGATCAAATTGGTCAAAAATAGAGACACCTGGGACATTTCTTTTATAAAACTGGGACAAATCACTGGTTTTGAATAAGTTTGTTGGGACAGGGGACACAGGGCTCAAAAACTGGGACTGTCCCGGGTAAATCAGGACGTCTGGTCACCCCACATTTTTCATTATCTTTTAATTTCCAGCTTACATTCTGGAACTATCACTCTATATTAATTCTCAAAGTAAGGCTAATTTTCAGATCAGTCTGCATTTTACAACACCATTTAGTTAGTCTGAAACTTTACAGATTTAAACTCACATTAATTATATACATATAAGATAGAATGACCAGATTTTCAACATAAAAAACTGGGACACTGTTGGTTTGTAGTGATTGGTAATATTAAAATTGTGAAACGAGTGATCATGACTTACACGAGTCAGTATAGTCACATTTTCTTTGTGTTTTGGTCATTTTTAAGCAGATTTTCTATATTTTACCCAAACAAATGACAGTTTATGCCTCTCTTTACAATTGGAAGGGATCAGATTGGTCAAAAACAGGGACACCTGGGAATTTCTTGCATAAAACTGGGATGAATTCAAATTTAAAAGTCATATTACTTATATGTACATAAGCACATAAGACCATGGGCCATCGTGATAACAGTAGATTAAACTCCGACATTTTCCCGTCTAGCCTCAATTGAATCATTAAAATATAAAAAACGCCACTTGATAAACAGCGACACTTGGTGGTTAAATGAAGTTCTGACACAACTACATTTTCCTGAGTTACTTGTAAATGAAAAGTTTCTGTTAAAGTAAAAGAGGATTATTTAACTTAACATAAGAAACCACTGTCCTCTTCAGAGAGACGGGAGCGTTTTGGCGCCACTGGAGCAAACGGATTTAACAAAGACGTGATTTACACTTAAAAACCGTAAAATACGACACAGTGAGGCTGAAAAAGCAACATGAGATCAACATTTTATGAGTTGGAAAATACGCCCTGGTCCCAGTTTAAACAACTTTAAAACCGAATAAATCTAAATAAAAGTAGAAGCTGATGTTACCGTCGCTCTGGTCTGAGGGAAAAAAATATATATATTAATAATTTTGTTAATAATTATTGTTAAATAGCTCATGTACTTTACAATAATAATAATAATAATAATAATATATTTGTTTTTATGTATGTATGTTTTATTTTGGGGAAGTAAGAAATGTAGGCCCATTCTTTTACAATGGAACAACGTATTATCCATAAAACATTAATGAAATCATAACAAAAGTAACAACAACAACAAATTTGCCTAAAAATTATTGGGAAGAAGAAGAAAACGTATATAATCCCACCCCCACTCAAAATGTTTATTGTCAATTCTTCAGACTAAAAACATGTAAAGAATCGAAATTGTGTTTCTCACTCCTGTGTGTATAAATAAATAACAATAAATGGAAAAGTCCAAGTGTTCTTTGGGGACTTCTGTTCTGTATTTTACATTTTACATTTTATTTTTCTGATAATCTTGCAGTGCATTTGTGTGTGTGGGTTTGGACAGAAAGGAAAAATTATTATTGTAGCTCATATACTTTACTATCATTATGGTTTTTCATTTTATATATATGTAAATATTTCTGATTATGTGAAATGCAGCTCATCCTGTATGTTATAATGCAAGTTTGTTAGGAGCGTAAATAGAAAGACATCGTTAAAATGATGTTCCACTTCCAGTAAACAGCCTCTGGAAATAAAAAGGACGTCCTGTTTAAGGTGGACCGCAGAAGTCGTGTTGTTTATGTGTGTGGAGTTTTTGTTTTTGTTGTTTTGTGATGATGTGATTGTAAATGAACAGATCCATGAGATTTAAGTTTCTATTTTAAAATGTAAACCATTAGGCTTTAGTTTTATCAAATGGCCCTGACACATCGGGGGTTTCCGTGGGCGTTTAAAGATCTTCATGAGTCATACATAATGTGCGTTAAGTTGCTGTTTCTCCTGAAGCCCGGGGAAATCGAAAGTGAAAGTATCTGGAGAGTTCCTGGTGCTTTGAGAGGGAGCGGTGCGTCAGTGTGTTCGTGCCCGTGCACAGAGAGCTGCGTGCGGGATGGCAGAGGCGGGCGTCGTCGTCGAGGGCGACTGGGCCCCGGAGCAGAACCGAACCGTGAAGAACAAACTGCTGAAGCACTTCCTGAGCGAAAAGAAGTCCGGCGGGGGAGAGTGCCGCGTGGAGACCGTGGACGGGGTCGCGAGGGCCGTGGTCCACTTCACGTCACACCAAGGTTCGTGTCGAGCCGAGCTCCACCTGCTCCTCTGCAAAAACCAAACTCAAACCCGAGAGAAAACAAAAGTGTTGTGTTGTTTAAACGTGTTTGTCTCAGGCGAGTTTCACTTTAATCCACTTTTAGTTCAGGTTTGAGTGTTTGGCGTCACATTTAAGAGCGGAAGTGTAACATACGTGTACTTATATCGTACAAATGTTATGAACTAGTGTCATGAGTCACGAGCTCAAGGAGATTTGCATAGAGCTGTTAAAAATAGACTCACGAAGTAAATGAACATCGGCTTGGCTGCATTCTCACATGTGACTCCTCCTTTTGAGCATCACTCCAGCTCAAAACTAAAACAAAAAGCATCGTTGGGAAAACTCAGTGTTGGGGAGTAACAGATTACATGTACCAGAGTAATCAGAGTACAAATTATGAGTAATTGTATTCAGTTACAGTTACTGTTTCAGTGAGAACTTTGTTGAACATAAATGGATTACATGGCGGTATTTTCCTGTTTTCACATTTTGAGTTAAACCAAGATTAAAACCAGGACTAAACCAGGACTAAACCAGGACTAAACCAGGACTAAACCAGGACTAAACCACTTTTGACTAAACCAGGACTAAACCAGGACTAAACTAGGACTAAACCAGGACTAAACCAGGACTAAAAGGACTAAACAGACTAAACCAGGACTAAAACCAGGACTAAACCAGGACTAAACAGGACTAAACCAGGACTAAACCAGGACTAAACCAGGACTAAACAGGACTAAACCAGGACTAAACCAGGACTAAAACCAGGACTAAACCAGGACTAAACCAGGACTAAACTAGGACTAAAACCAGGACTAAACCAGGACTAAACCAGGACTAAACCAGGACTAAACTACCAGGACTAAAACCAGGACTAAACCAGGACTAAACCAGGACTAAACCAGGACTAAACCAGGACTAAACTAGGACTAAACAGGACTAAACCAGGTCTAAACAATATGACACTAACAGTAGGTGAACATAATTTAAAGAAGCAGTGTCTCATATAAAAATATTTTCTCTATCAATAATATTTTTAATATTTTTAATCTGTTTATTTTCTTTTAGCAAATAAAACATTTTATGTTAAAATATCCTGGTCTTTTCTACTTTACAGTAAAACAAAAGTCTGTTCATGGAGACTTGGACTCAGACAATTTGTGGAAAACAAACATGATTTTTCAGGATGTGGTTGTTACTTTCATGTAGTTTTAAAAAACACGACAATATCAAGTAATTCAAAGTAATCAGATTATGTTACTCACTTTAAGTAATTTAATGGATTATGTTACAAACTACATTTTGGAGTATGTAATATGTAATCTGTAGGGGATTACATTTGAAAAGTAAACTTCACAACACTGGTTATACTTTTGTCCAATGTTCTAGATCAGTGTTTCCCAAACTTTTTTTCTGGGGATCCATATTTTAAAAGTCACAAACCTTCGCGACCCGAGTCAATAGACGTTATTCGTGAATCGCAGAATAAAGTTTGGATTTGAGCGTTATTCAACATTAATGAGGAGATTATACTGTTGCCTGAGTGATCGTGTCTCTGAACATTTAGTTTTACTCAAGTTTAAACAATGAAAAACAGAAATTGAACCAGCGATGTGTTTCAGTCTAAGACTTTCCTCAGGGGACTTCTTCTTCTTTTTTTTGTTGTCCCCTGAGGAAAGTCATAGGCTGAAACACATTGGGACTTTGTAAGTTTGTCCATTAAGACACGCTGTAAATTAATAAAGGCATTTTATTTTAACCAGTCAGTGCCTTGGGTTTTTTGCATCTTTGTACTGACTTCCCTTCCCAAAGAGCAACACTGAGTTGGATCTACTGTGTATGAGCCTCTGGACGTCCAGGAAACGCTTCTTCTGAAACCTTTTTTTAATAACTGAATTGAATTGAAATTGCTTAAGGAGGATTCTAAATATAAAATTTACAAGAGCACGTGGAAAATGTTTCTGTTATTTGGGAAAAATATATAATTAGGATTGTGATTGGATTTGCGATTTATGTGTCAACAATAAGATTCTGTTAAAAGTTCACATTTTAAACACGTCCAGAACATAAAGATCATCTGTGGTCCAGAAGAATCGACTAAAAGCCTCAAATCTGAACTGACAAACTAATACAAGAACGTCAGGGTTTGCAGCGTTTATGTTTAATATGACAGTAGATTTAGTTGTTGTGGAGGAAATTATGAAAACTTCAATAATTTCAGCCTTTTTGTTGTGCTGATGAACTGTCTATTCAAATGATTATTTTGATTCGATTGCGATTAATCTTTCAGTATTAAAACATTATTGTCTGCCTCAGTTAAACAGGAAAATGTCTGAAATCCCAAAATGTTCTGTTTGTTTTTCAGTGAGAGACCGAGTTCTGTCCAAACCCGACCACGAGATCACAGTCGACCAGACGAGTGTCAGACTGCGCCTCAGAGCAGCGAACTCTCCGGTGAGTAGAACCAGAGCAGACAGGAGCAGACAGGAGCAGACAGGAGCAGCAGGCAGCAGGAGGCAGCAGACAGCAGAGCAGCAGGCAGGAGCAGACAGGAGCAGAGCAGGAGCAGCAGGAGCAGCAGGAGAGCAGGAGAGCAGAGCAGACAGGAGCAGGCAGGAGCAGGAGCAGACAGGAGCAGAGACAGAGCAGAGCAGGAGCAGACAGGAGCAGACAGAGCAGACAGGCAGGAGCAGGCAGGAGAGCAGAGCAGGAGCAGGCAGGAGCAGACAGGGCAGGCAGGAGCAGCAGGAGCAGACAGGAGCAGGCAGAGCAGCAGAGCAGGAGCAGGCAGGAGCAGACAGGAGCAGACAGGAGCAGGAGCAGCAGGAGCAGGCAGGAGCAGACAGGGAGCAGACAGAGCAGCAGGAGCAGCAGGAGCAGACAGGGCAGCAGAGCAGGAGAGCAGGCAGGAGCAGGCAGGAGCAGACAGGAGAGCAGGAGCAGCAGGAGCAGGCAGGAGCAGACAGGAGCAGACAGGAGCAGCAGGCAGGAGCAGCAGGAGCAGACAGGAGCAGGCAGGAGCAGAGCAGGAGCAGGCAGGAGCAGCAGGAGCAGGCAGCAGAGCAGACAGGAGCAGACAGGAGCAGGCAGGAGCAGACAGGAGCAGGCAGGAGCAGACAGGAGCAGCAGAGAGCAGCAGGCAGACAGAGCAGGAGCAGGCAGAGAGCAGCAGCAGGAGCAGCAGGAGCAGGCAGGCAGGAGCAGAGCAGAGCAGAGCAGCAGCAGCAGGCAGGCAGGAGCAGCAGGAGCAGGCAGGAGCAGGCAGGAGCAGGAGCACAGGAGCAGACAGGAGCAGGAGCAGACAGGAGCAGACAGGAGCAGAGACAGAAGACTGAAAAGGAGCAAAGCCAAAGATTAATTCACTAAACCAGGGGTGGGCAAAGTATGTGGCCCTTTAATCTTTTTAATCCGGCCCACTGAACTTGAATAATACTAGTAATAATTTTCAGTGTTTTAAAAGTCATTTCACTAAATAGTAAATACTGTGGGACTTGAAAGACAGATATTTTATTGTAATGCTTTTCAATTATAGGATATTACAATTATTTCTTTTCTCTTATGAGGTGGATTACCAAAAAAACTCAAAACATCCATCTGTTCCTGGTCCTGGCGTTTCTGTCAGACTTTAGAACCTTTGTGGCCCATGAGTCCAAACGTCTGCCCGCCCCTGCAATAAACTAATCAGACGTGGGACAAAATTCACTAAACTAATCAGACGTGGGACAAAGTTGTTGTTTTGCGAGTTTCAAGTCTTTGACCTCAAGTCCCAAGTCCAGTCCCAAGTCAAATACAGGCAAGTCCAAGTCAAGCCTCGAGTCACTGGCCCATAAGTCCAAGTCAAATCCAAGTCGTCTGCTTTAAGCTTCAAGTCATTTCAAGTCTTTAAACCAAAATACCAAATATCTTAAACTAAATCGTACAAAGTCCTGGTGTATTTATTTTTGAGTATTTGTTGTAGAAATGCAAATTTTTCCTTTTTAAATGTCTCAACAAGATCTTTACGGATCATTACGTTCAGAACAGAAGGAATTCAGATTTAAAAGAGCTTATTTTCTTTAGGAGAAGGATCAAGTCTTCTCAAGTCACAGGCCTCAAGTCCCGAGTCATTGACCTTCAAGTCTAAGTCTCCGTTCAGTCTGCAGGTTTAACGCTCAATTCAGATTTTTTTGTGAAATCCGATGTTTTTTCGAGGTCGTTCACATTTCCAGTTAAATGTGACTTGTATGTGACTCCAGTGTGAACATTAAACGGTCCAAAAGTGTCCCACATGTGACACTGGAGACACGACGACGTCAACCGCAGCGAGCGTCTCTGTGTTTACACAAGTTGAACAAACATGGACGCAGCATCGAGCACCTGGAGATTTTAAAGTTCCTCTCGTACCGGAGCCACAACATGAACAACTGACTTGTTTTAAGGAGGAGATTGAGAAGGAGAAGGACCAGGTTTTTGGTGGTGGTGTTTTGTGGTGAGACGTTTGTGTCTTGTTGATAACGTGTAGGTGGATGAATGCACTTTGACCGTTCACACTGAAGTCACATGTTAAAGATCAGATATGGATCAGTTTCAGGAGCACAGATCCAAGTGTCCTGGGTCACATGTTTGAAAACATCAGATCTGTGTGGTTCAGACTGACATTAAAAGATCAGATACAGGAACATAGAGACAAAAAATTGGATTTGGGTCACTTCAGGTGCAGACTGAACGCAGCCTAAGTCAAGTCTCAAAATCTTAGGTCATTTTATCAAGTCAAGCCTCAATTCCTAAAAATAATGACTCAGGTCTGACTCAAGTCCACGTCGTGACATAATTCTGTGTTAAACTTGTGCGTGTTGCTGATGCAGTTTGCTGGAGGAGCTCAGAGCTTTGATTGACAGGTGATGCACTTCTACTGTTGTTGAATAAAGTTTTTATTATGCAATAGTCTCAGTGTGCAGCGGCGTCAGGTGCAGCTCAGGTAAGTTTCCTCTTCCCTGATGCAGTAAACGTCACATGACCACAGGTATTTCAGGTGGAGTTTGGACTCTGGACAAACTGGATCTGCTGCTCAGTCTCAGCTGTAAAATCAGAGACAACAAGAGATAAAAATGAGTTACTGTGACATTACTGCTCCTGTTTCCTGACGCTAATGTGAACCAGAAGTGTCCAAACTTTTCTCAATGAGAGTCACATTCTGAAAGGCTCCAGACGAGTGATGTATTTAGCACAAGTTGACAGTTTGACGACACTTTTATTCAGGAGCAGAACCTTTTTTGCCTTTGAAGTTACGATGGTCCTGGGGGTTTAACCTGCAGTAAAATAGTTAAGGTCATTTGGGGCAATTCACCAAGAGATTAAAGGCGATTTGGAAAATACTGAATCGCAATTTTTCTGACAAACATTGCAATCATTTTGTTCAAAGTTCATATTTTAAACTCATCCAGACTGAATCATTTTATGTGGTTGTGGCGAAGTTAATACAACAACAACAATAACACAAAAAAAACAAGGATATGTACATGTTCATATTTGGAACCTGGTACTCAAAAAGAAGAGGATGAAATAAAAAAAATTATCCTGCCCCGATTTTTTTACATAATCACGTGATTGACACTTTTTTTTAGTGCTTATCTGAAATATATTTTAGTTTATGGTCGTACAAAATAAACCACAATGAGAAAAAAATTTAAGGATTTTTTTTCTTTGTTTTCATTTATGGTCATACAATCTAATAATAACGATAAAGAAAGGCACAACATTGATTTAATGTTAAAGAAAAGCACGTGTTTGGTTTATAGTCGTGGTTTTAGACGACAATGGATCTGGTCTTCTAGGTATTTCTGTAAGATTAGATTTTTATATTGTTTTTTTGAAATGCACCAAATATGAACTGACAGATCTAAACTAAAGGTCAGCACTTTTTATGATACGACGGGAAATTTTTATTTATGGAGGAAACTTTTGTACTTTAAATTGCAGCATTTGCTAATTCTGTCCATTGAAATTAGGATTTTGATTTAATCCTGGGCCACACTCCTGCACTAAACTAACTCTTCAATAATCATCTTTATGTGCTCTTCCTCCTCAGATCCAAACCTCCACAAGCAACGTTCCAGGTAAAACTACATTTGCTGAGATTCTGTTGCGTGAGAAGAATTCTGCTTCATTTTTTATTTTTTTATTAATTTTTAGATCCACAGAAAACTGACGAGCAGAAAAATGCAGCTCGGACACAGGAGTCTAAACCCGGTGAGATAATCGTAGAATCATGTCTTATTCTTTCTGTCGTTTAAACGTCTTTATATTTGGTTCAGTGTTTGTGCCACTGTTGCCATGGGGCAGAGTAACAGGGGTGTGGCTGCTCTGATTATGTAAACTGAAGTGCTTTATGTCTCTGTGTTTTATTGAGAAAAAGAGATGGTTTCCAAGCTTATGTTTTTGGACCTGCTACAGTAAAAGCTGCAGTAAATGGAGCTCCACAGTGACCCCCTGTTCCCCAAGTCAAATTCTCATTCATTTTTCCCATAGACATTCTGAAAAAATATTAGTGCTGTTAGCGATTAAAAAAAATTGAGAGATGAATTAATTATGACCGACCTGTAATTAATTAATCTAATTAATCTCTTTTTTAATCTCACCTAAAAATTGCTGAGAAAAACTTCAACTTGAGGTATTTTCATTTGAATTCATTATTACATTATTTTCATACTTTCATTAATGTTTTTATATAAGTATCATCATTATTACTGTTACTAATCTGCATAAATAAACTCAACTTTACAACATATAAACATAATGCAGCTTTGCGCAAGTCTCACAGAAACAAAACTTAAAACTGCATGGCTCATTTGCATAAACTAAGTGGAGAAAAGAAAAAAAAAAACGCTCTTGTGTCACTGATGTGGTTCAGCTTCTGTTGGACTAAAGGACTCGACTCAGTGGAATATAGATGTTCTCTCTGTGACAGAGGGATGTTCTGCTGATGGTGAGTCTGTTCTGTGTTTGTGTCGCGATGTTTTCAGATCAGACGTGCAGGTTTATCGCAGATGTGGCGAGAACAGGAATGAAAATTAGGCTACAATTCTTTACTGGAGCGAGCGGAGCAGGACTGCACAGTGCGGGACTGTGTCCTAACAACACATAAAAACAGATTTTATAATAAGGCAACTCGAAAACAGAAACAGTACAGTTAGAGATTAAAAATTTGATTAACATGATTAAAAAAACATAATGTGCTAAATATGACTGTAATTAATTGATCGCAATTAACGCGATAATTTGACACCCCTAAAAAATAATATAGACAGTTTTAAAACTCAGGCATAATCAGCTACTTGGTTAGTGTCCATGACGTTCTGAACTTTTGACATTTGATTTTTTTTTAACCAAAGATGTTTATTTTGTCGTCTTATGTACTTTAACTTCTTGGGTTCTGTTTTAAAGACAACAAAGTGAAGTGTATTTATCTTGTTGACATGCATCTTCAGAACCGTCCCCGGTGCTGCTGTTGGTTCTTCCTGTAGGTCAGCCTGATCATATCACATCTGAAAAAAAGAACACCAAAAGAAATGTGAAAAGGAAACATCAGGGAGACTCACCAGAACACAAAAAGACAAAACAGAACAGGAAAACCTCAAATCTGCCATAACTAAACTAAATTAATTAAAGTACATATATCGTCGCACCTGAATATAACCCGCAGGTGTCCACGTCTTCAAGAACGTTTTCTAGTTCGGTCCGTCAGCTTTTATCGCCTCTGAAATCTTTTGTCGTCTTTTTGCTTTGAGTCAGTTTGTCATCGCTGCCGTCGCCAAAATCTCACCATCGACTTAGTGGCGTTGAGTTCACGTGCAGCAGCAGCTCTGTTTCCTTCTTCCACAGACACATCAGTCGCCTTTAACTTAAAATCTGCATCATCTGCGTCAAAATCTGCATCATCTGCGTTTCTTCGTGTGTTTTCCATGAGGAGGGTACGGAAGCCGAGAGGGGTCACAACAAATGCAAACGCCACAACAAATACAAAAAAATCCACAACGGAAGTGACCGCGGGACTCTATTTTCCGACGGACCGATCAAGCGGCAAGTGAAGAAGAAGAACTACAACGTGAAACGAATAATGATAAAACAAGAAATTACTTTTACTTACGTTTCCAACTTCTCCGTCCCTTTACTTTTCACGTTGTAGTTCTTCTTCTTTCTTCTAAAGTTGACGGAGTCCTGGGACACGCTCAGAGACTGTAACAGATGTTTGAAAAGAGGAGTGTTCCTCTTTTCAAACATCTGTTACAGTCTCTGAGCGACCTGCAGGTCCATCCACGCCCACAGGAAGTGACAACAGGTGACCACGCCCACAGGAAGTGACAACAGGTGACCTACGACACGTCAACACCAACACTGGGGACACTTCTGAAGATGCAGCAGAAACATGTCAACAAGATAAATAAACTTTACACTTTATGACCAAGAAATTAATGATTTTCAGTCTATGGGAATTTTACAGAATCGGAGTGGATTCTGAAGTGGGCGGGACTGTTGAGCTTAATAGAGAAATGTTGAATCATGATGTCGATATGTCCAGAACATCACAGGGACCAAGATTTTCACCAGTTTTCATCGCCACATCCTCCGGCCTTAAGTGTGTTTTAGTTAGGGTGACCAAATGTCAGTTTTTCCCCGGACATGTCCGTATTTTGCGTCCTGTCCTGGGCGTCTGGGTTTTTTTTAATAAAGTGATGCAAATGTCCGGGTTTTCAGTACCGTTCATTAAACTGAGCATCTCTCGTAGCGTCTGTGACTCAGAAGGAGCGAGACACAAACAGTCGATCAGTCTGCAACACACCGAAACGCAATGGCGCATTTAACAACGACTTGTACAAGAAATTCTCAGTTTTCCATCCTGGTCGGGACAAGTGTGAGTCCAGGTGCACAGGTTGAGGTGAGAGGACAGTGTCCCTCGTTTATCGTGGGGGTTATGTTCTAAAAATAACCCGCGATAGGTGAAATCCACGAAGTATCAACTTTATATTTTACAATTATTCTATCTGTTTTAAGTCTGTAAAACCTCTTAGCACAAACTTTATACACTTTTCTCAGACAGGATCGACAGGTGCAACACTTTTTACTTCCTTCTTAAAACTTATTTCTGCTCTCGTCCTTTTCTTATTTTCCTCCTTCTTTATGTAACGAACCAAAGATTCATTTATTCCGTAATGGAGCCCAACAGCGCAGAGTCCTGCACGGGTCAGTTTTTGGAGACCCCCAGTACAACACCACACCCGCGCAGGACAGGACCGCACCTGCCAGTACAGGACCGCACCTGCCCATTAACCTGAGACTAAACCAGGACTAACCCAGGACTGATTCCAGGACTGAAGAGGAGGACTAATCCACGACTGAACTAGGACTAAAACAGGACTAAAACAGGACTCAGTGTCGGGACGGGCTCAGAGGTGACCGCAGGAGAAAGGACCGGCTCAGCTCTGCACCTCACGGAGGTAAACGCTGCAATTGCCTAATCGAGCTTTGCAGACAAACTGCTCGGCGTTCTCTCTCTTTAAGTCCAAGATTAGTCCTGGTTTAGTCCTGACACACCCGTGTGTAATTACTACCCGCCTGTAATACACAATACGCGCTCATACGCTGTAAAAAAAACACCCCCCCAGGTGTCCGGGTTTTCACAAACAGAAATATGGTCACCCTAGTTTTAGTACCAAAAGCAGGTGGACGTGTCTCACAAACTCATCATTTACGAGCACCTGCGTCTCCCTCTCTGTGCCCCAGATCGAGGCTCCTCTTCTGGGTGCGTCGCCCGGTGCAGTGTGGCTCTGGGGCCGGTTCCTGAGGACATGTCCAGAGACCTGCTGTGCGTCCTGGTGGAGAACGTGTGCGGTTTGGAGGAGACGGAGTACGACCTGGAGCTGATCTGGGAGCTCAGCGTCGCAGTCGTGACCTTCAAGAATCACACAGGTACGGTTTAAAAGACGGAGTTTTCCACTGGCCCGGAGTTTTACGCGAATGCAAGGAAAAGAGTCAGCGTCTCAGTAAAATGTCACTTCCGAGTACTAGTGAAGACCAAAACAGTTCTCAGTGTTTCATCTACAAACATAATTCTTTCTGAACTGCATGTGCTCCTTTCTCAGACGCAGAGAAGTTCATGTCCTTGAGCCAGAGCAGCAGTAAACTCAGTAAACGAGGCCTGACCGCGACTCTTCTGGAGCCGGCGACCAACGTCCGAGTCGAGAACCTGCCCCCTGCTGTGGTCAAAGGTGAGAAACTCCGTAAGAAATGTCCATTATCCCACTGCACTCATCCAACCACAACATCTGCAGATTAACTACAGACATTTGACCTGCTCCTCTCCCTGTGTGTCAGATGCCCTCCCATCCTCCTCCAGTCTCACATCAGGATTCAGAACTACTTTGTGTCCAATTTAAAGGGCCCATCTCATGCAAAATCAGCTTTTCAGCTTTTCTACCTACTCAGAGTGATGTGTGGGCCTTGTATTTGTCGCTGAACTGGGTTTTTAGATTGATTCTGCATTTTTTTTAAAATAAACTGCAGCGTATTTCTGCCACCCTCCCACGTGACAATGAACTAAAGCTGCTACAATGATGATGCGGCAGATACACCTATGACGTGTTTGACGCAGCAGAAATCGCTTCACACCTGCCCCGCCTCCACCCCACATCGTCTGACAATTCCTACATGAACCTAAACAAAAGCGACAGCATAAGCTCATTGTTCCACACTGCAGTGAACGTGACATAATAAGTTTATCTCCTAGTGTTTATTAAAACTTTACCAATCAGTAATGTTCAGTTGATGTGGACTTGGTGCTTGAGCTTCGTGCTCCTCAAAGTCCTCGTCCGATTCCAGGTCCAACACATGCGGCTGAACGCGCTGTGTCTCCATGATGAATAAAAGTTTATTCCTGCCGCTGTCAGGGTCACGTCTGTCTCCCCCTCCCTCCCTGAGACGGCGGAGGAAGGGCGACTCACTCAGTCGCCTACGTCACGTTTGGAGGGCGGAGCCTGTGCTTTCTCAGGACGGGCGGGGGGAGGAGCAATAGTCGGACTTTCATAGTTCCTGGTCTGTGACTGTCTCCAAGAAATCAGTAAGATTTCAGAACTATTGTGTAATGGATGTTCCAAAACCCAAACTGTGCTTGAACATGTGCAGAAGATACAATGTGAAAAGAGTTATTTTGCATCAGATGGGACATTTAATCATGTTTTTATTGCAAAAATATATTCAAATCGAGATAAATGCAACTGCTGAACATTTCAGATTCATACAGTGAGACAGTAGGAGGAGTTTTACTTCTTACAGTGTTTCTAGGTCAAAGTAGAGGAGCGGTGTGAGGGACAAATGACTCCTGGTTTAAGATGTTGTCCAGACTGTAATAATATAATCATTTGCTTTTTAATAGGCTCTATTCACGCTTACGTCACAAACCAGGAAAACATTTGTAAAGGAAGGAAAAATGAGAAAATGTCCCAGTTTGCTTCGTGTCCATGTCATTGTAGTGTTCCGTTATGTTCGGATCATCAACAGTTACAAACATCCCTCAGTTTTCATAATTTCTCCACTGAAGCACAACTCCGAGAGCACTGGGTACATGTGATTAGAAGAGACGAGGCGCCAAATTCCAGATGATTCCAAACAGCACATACATCTGCAGTCTTCATTTTACCGCTGAGCACGTTTACTTCAGTGGGTTTGATCACAGTCAGTTAAGCCCAGTGTCGAGAACTGCACCGGAAGTCATCATCGCGTGTTTCCAAACGTTTTCCTTCATTTGTGACATAAGAGTGAAGAGAGATTATTCAAAACCAAATAATAAAAGACAAACTTTAGGTCACTTATTTCTGTTGTCGTGTCCTGGTGATGTGAATAAAGTCGTGTTGAATTCCCTCAGACATGTTGGATCTGTATTTTGAGAAAAAGTGGGAGGCACCAGACGACATCCAGATGGTCCCAGAGGAGCAGGCTGCAGTCCTCTCCTTCTCCGACCCCACAGGTAAGCACTCCACCGCGGCAGAGTCGTTAGCACTGCCCCCACAGCAGCAAAGTCCAGGTTTGACTCCTGAGTGGGTTTCCTCTGGTCTCCCCTTTAACTGAAGGCTTAAGGCTGTGCTCCCCAACCTTTTTCTCTTATTCTATTTACTAGAGGTGTAACGGTTCATCTGTTTGTGCTGAACCGTTTTGGTACGAGACGTTCAGTTCGGTGCAGGACTGTGCACGAGTGAGTTCATGCCATTTGTGTGTGTTTATATTCTGCCACTACATGTGCAGCTACACAGAAGTAATATTCATGAGGGAACTCGTCCGTGAAAATGAACCGAACCGTGACCTCAAAACCGACGTACTTACCGAACCGTGATTTATTTATTTATTTTATTTATTTATTTATTTGAGACAGGGACAGCGCACAATTTTCACATTAACCTTGACAGGAGAGATGCATTGTACATCAGGTTGTAGCATCAGTGCTAATTTCCACCTGTCGTCCCTGGGCAGGTTCATTGATTGATTGTATTTAACTGACCTTGACTATCAACTGTTTTATGGAGACCTGTAGCATGTTTTGGGTTGATGGGGGAAACCGGAGCACCCAGAGGAAACCCATCCAGACACGGGGAGAAACATGCAAACTCCACACAGAAAGGCCCAGGCGACCCGGGGATCGAACCCAGAACCTTCTTGCTGTGAGGCATGAGTGCTAGACACTCAGCCACCGTGCCGTGTACCGTTACTCCCCTACTATTTACCAGGGATTTACACAGCTAATTCTTTTCTGGTGAAGTGTTATGGGGACGTCCTCAAAGGAGGAGGCACTGAGGAAAGTGTCTGGGGAGAGGGAAGCCTCTGTTTAGACCAGAGGTGTCCAAACATTTAAGTCTATGGGTCAAAGTTAACACGTATTAACAGGTTGAGAGCCAAACTATGTATGTTTTTCATGTAAAATGTTTCTCATCAAAGATATGTCCAGCTAAATAGTTTTTAATGTTTGTGCTTTTAGGGGGATGAACTTTTTTCTGTCCAAATTTGATTCAAAACTGATACTTCTTAGAAATCTCAGCACCTCCCTGTGGCCAAAGTAGACCCTGTGGAAGGCCAGGTTTGGCTCTTAAGTCCCACTTTGGGCACCTCTGGTTAAAACTGTTGCCTCTGTGATCCAGGATTGAACAGAACAATCGAAGGGATGAATTGACCTGTTGTGTCACGTGTCCTTCTGAGTCTGATGTTTGGTTTCTCTCTCTCTTTGCAGTGGTGAAGGACATCTGCTCCCAGTCTGACCTCACCATCAAATCCACTAAGATTAAAGTCTATCCGTATTACACGTCCCTGGGTGTGGCTCTGATGGGCGAAGATCGACCCCAGTTCAAAATGCCTGAAGCCTTCACTGAAAACGTGCACATCCCAGTCTGGAAGTTCCTTTGCAGCAAAAACCTCTCCGACTCCATCAACCAAAACATGAGTCCACACTTCTGCCACGTCAACATGGACACGCCGCAGGTCAAACTCAGCCCTTCACCCAACTTCCTACGGCAGAACAACCTCACCAAAGATCAAGTAGAAAACTGGAGACCCTCGGCTCTGAAGGCGTTTCGGGAGCAGATGAACGAATATGGTGCGTTCGATTGTCCTGTGAACGAGGACGCGTGGAGACTGGTCGAAAAAGAAGTGCGTGCGATTGTGAAAGATGAAGCTGAACTTACTTTGGATCAATCAAAAGATTTTCTCACTGTTGCTTCGAGCTTCAGAATCTTAAAACGAATCAGGGCAGAAGTGGAGGCAGCAGTTCGCAAAGCTGTCAATCAAATCGACAGACAAATGAACGGAGTTCAGGAGAATGTGATACTGACTCCGGCCAAGTTCCACATTTTGAAGGAAAGTGGGCTTCAGAAGGCAGTGCGAGATATTTCTCCTGACCTCCTCATGCACTTTGACAAAGGAGTTCTGACCATATCAGGACTGCAAAGTGAGGTTCTCAGATTAAAAACTTGGATTCTTGAAAAAAACATGTCTCTAGAGAAGAAACAGCTGGAAATACCACTTCCTCTTAAAGATTTTCTCCAGAAAATAGACGTAAATCAGTTGTCCCAGGATCTGTTCACGTCACAGGGCATCTGCACGTTCATCAGTTTAGAACCCAAAGGGATTTTTCTCATCGGAAGTTCAGAACGTTTTATCAGTGACGCGGAGAACAAAGTGAAATCTGTTTTGGCCGTTCAGGCTTTAAACTTTCAAGACAAAGAAGTTGTGATGCTTAAAAAGTGGTCTGATCTGATGAAGAGCTTGCTGGATTCATACAACACCTCCAATAAACAAACTGTGCAGGTCCAAATTCAACCGCCAAAAATTACAATCGCAGGTTTTTTTAATCCAGTGAAAGAAATGGCCCAAAGTTTAAGTGACTTTATCAACAGCTATTCTCGAGTTCAGGAGAGGGTCAAAGTTGAGTCCTGCGCTGTGATTCAGTTCATTGAAAAGAAAAAGATCGAAGAATGGAATAAAATTGCCAAAGACAACCAGGTCAGATATGAGTTTGACCCTGTTCGGCCCAAATTTACCATTTCTGGAGCCCGAATACACGTCCAAAACGCCAAAACGCTCTATCATAATCTCACCCGATCTCTCATCACCGACACGTTTCAGGTGCAAAAACCAGGGGCCAAAAAGTTCTTCAAAAACCAAGGATCCTTTTTTCTGTCTGCCTGTTTGAATGAATTTGGATGCGCCGTAATTCTGCGTCCTGAACTCCCCGACGATGACGACGAATTTGAAGAAGTTTTAGACGTTCAAGACGGTGGCTGCGTTGTGAGAGTTACAACGAAGAGCGGGGTGGAGGTTTCGGTGAGAAAGGCAAACATGTGCAAGCTCAGTGTAGACGCGGTCGTGAACGCGGCTAACGAGGAACTCAAGCACATCGGCGGGTTAGCATTAGCGCTCCTAAACGCGGCGGGACACGAGATGCAGCAGGACTGTGATGAGTTCATCAGGAAAAACGGGAAGCTTCCTGAAGGCCAGACGTTTGTCACCAAATCGTACCGACTGCCGTGCAAACATGTGATCCACGCGGTCGGGCCGAAGGTACACGGAAAACAAAGCTAAACTGGCACATTTTCTCCTGAAGCTCGCTGTTATAGATTGTCTAACCCAAGCAGAGAAGCTGCAGTGTGCGAGTGTAGCGATGCCAGCTTTAAGTTCAGGGGTTTTTGGTTTTCCAGTGGATCTGTGCACAGAGACCATCGCTCAAACCGTGAGAGAATTCTGTGATGACCCACAGAACACACTGGTGTCGCTCCGACAGGTGCAGCTGGTGGATAATAACGATAAAACTGTGAAGGCTCTGGCTGAAGCGGTGAAGAGGGAGTTTTCTGACCTGAAACCAACCACAGGATCTGACAAGACGAGGGTCCAAACGGAGGGAGCAGTGGGGTGAGGTTAAACTATGTTTTGAATTTATTTAAAGGTTTATGGTGAAAGGATTAATAATGTTATTAAAAATGATGGTAAATAATGATTCACCTGTTTGGAAGATGTGCACAAGAAAAGAAGTATTTACATAAATTCAGTATGTTTTGGTTTAGGGTTGCAGCTAATGGTCAATTTTATTTTTTGCAAATCTTTCTCTCAGTGGCTCTGAGCCTGGATGGGAAACTGTTCTTTATGAAGAAATCAACCAACCAGAAAAAAAAGACGTTTCTCGTGGAAAAGCAACGGGCAACAGACTCAGCAACCACCAACAATTCAAACCAAAGTCCAAAGGGTAAAAACTACAGTTCAATAATCAGTCCTGCACTGAACAAAATGAAATGTTTATATTTAGGTGAACATGACTATATTCAGTAGTTTTGACTTGATTAATTTTCTTTATGGATTAAGTAAATTAATTTCATTAACTGGATTATTTAAATTGTTTCAAATATTTCTATTTTTCATCTTGTCAAAATTCCACTGTACTGATAATGACATCATCACTGTGCTGTGCTCTGATTGGCTGCAGACAGACGCTGGAGCAGACGACGCCTGAAGGAGTCAGCATCAGTCTGGTGAACGGAAACATCCAGGACCAAACCGTGAGTGAGACGTTCAATAGAAAAGTCAAATAACTCGACCGTATCTCGGCTCGGTCTTTCCTGTGATGAAACGCTCAGACCGTTCGCCTGACGTCGCTCTGAATCTTTCAGACGGACGTCATCGTGAACACCATAGCAGAGAACATGATCCTCCAGCAGGGGGCGGTGTCCAAGGCTCTTCTGGCGGCGGCCGGTCCAGAGCTGCAGGCCGCCGTGCTCTCGTCTGTATCAGAGGATAAGCTGCCGTTTGGAGAAGTGATCATCACCGACAGCTTCAACCTGCGCTGCCAAAAAGTGTTCCACGCCGTGTGTCCGCCCTGGGACAACGGGGCGGGGCCAGCGCAAGCGGTCAGTGCTCGCCGTCTGCCCGGTGCCACACAAGGAAATAAAACTAACTACAGAACACATTTAAAACAACTAAATCTTATTAAAGTGATGGACGGCCACAGTCATACAACAACGTCATGGATTAAAAAAAAACTGTGAAAATAAAGTATAATATAAAAAGATTTTTCTAACTCGTATCAAAGGCCAATGTGAAAAACTAATTATTTTAAAACACGTATTACATAATCCTGTGACTTTAACTGGATTTTAAAGCAGATTAGCCTGAATATTTCACATCTTATAACTTGAAATGATTTGGTAAACACATGTTAATAGTATTAATGGTGTTTGAGCGCCTTCTAGTGTCAACAAAAGGAATGAACCATGAAAAAATAAGATGTGATAAGTGATTTATCACACGTCTACAGCCCAAAACCACTCACCCATCACACTGTTGTGCTTCCTTTAAAGTCCCACGTGGTTTATTTGTGAAAAAAGTAAAAAAAAAATAGACCATTTAATGACAGTGTTTCTTATAATCCAGAGTGACTAATAGTGCGGAAAATATGGTACTCAAGTTTTAAACAATGAAAAACAGTCACTGAAGCAGCAATAAAAGGATCCATAAGTTGCCTATTTGGACATTAAATGTTGCCTGTTTCTTTTTCTTTTCAACATTCAATTCAGCCAGCAATATTGGAACATAATAATCAGGAGAACTGTATATCGCAGACCTACATGCAGATCGTGACAAGGCGACCCAAAACAAGCCCCATCTGAGGGTCACGACCCAGTCTTTGAAAACAATGGATTAGTAGATAAACCTCTAGAAAGCCACAGTATTTCATGAATATTTTAGTCCTCAAATGTGTAAAAGTTTGACGTGTGTTCAGATGTTGGAGGGCATCGTCCAGTTGTGTTTGGAGGAGGCCGAGCGGCGGCGGCTCAGCTCCATCTCGTTTCCTGCTCTGGGGACGGGGAACCTGAACTTCCCTCGACCCGTGGTGTCCGCTCTGATGCTGCGACAGGTGCGCACCTTCAGCCAGGCGCGCTCCCCTCGACACCTGAGGGCGGTGCAGCTCGTGGTGCACCCGGCCGACACCCAGACTGTGCAGGTGAGGCTCAGCGCGGAAACAAAACAAACCTTCATCAAAATAAAACTAATGTAATGATCTGTGCTTCCAGTGCTTCACCAACGAGTTCACAGGTCAGAGCCAGCAGAGAAACGTCCAAACAGAAGCAGAGTTTAAGCCTTTTCCTCAACCCCGCGTCCGCTCACAGCAGTCCTCAGGTGAGACGCACCTGTGTCTTTGTCTTTATAATTAGACTTTATACCTAACCTCGGATAAAGTGTTAAATTTAAACTGCATCCACATCATCCATAAAAATTGTCCTCCGTAAATAATGAGTCCAGTCCACAAAACGTCTGGGCTGTGAGTCCAGTTTTTTGTGTTGTTTAAAAGTAAAAAGGTGAGTTTGTTTGGTCTCGTGTGTCTGTTTACATCCACACAGCACACGGATCGAGCTGAAGCTGAAGCTGCAGATTCTCCACAGTGACTCTACTTCCCCCACGATTTTATCTCCAATCTTTTATGCTTTAAAAATCCTGTATCTGAAGTTTTGCTCCACATTTCACAAATAATAATAACACAATTTTGACTTGGATCTAAACTAGAAGTGCAGAGTCTGATCTTTGAGCGACTGGTTTTACTGGAGACAAGAAACAGCCGACGCCGTCAGACTCACACATTTATATCCTGTGCTCCACACACAGATCCCACTGCAGTCTGCACACATCACACATTTAAAATCTCATCACATTCTCCTCGTGTCTGTGGTGTGTGTGCGTTTTGTAGCATATTTAAAAATCGTTTAAGACAGAAATATCCTGTAGTGTGAGACGCCTTTAGTTAATCATTTGTATGAAACTCCTGTGTGTGTGTCCAGCCTCTTTCGGGCAGGTGCAAACTCCGTCGCTCGGGGTGCATCAGATGCAGATGGGTCATGTGACCCTCGAAGTCTCCTCCGGTGACATCACCAAAGAAACCTGTGATGTCATCATCAACTCATCCAATGAGAACTTTACCTTGAAGACAGGTGGGTTTCAAACTGCATTTATTTATCTCATTCCTTTAAAGGCAGCACTGCTCCCTCTGGTGGTTATTCTGTTTTTTGGGTTTTTTTTGTGTTTTTCAGTTTAATCACACAACTTCACAGTCCAGTCCTGGATCAGATCTAGTTTAACTCTGGTCCATTATTCTGCTGCAGATGTGATTTGACTGTGACAGTGTTTTGTGTTGCCACAGGCTGAAGCTTCTGTTTCTCTTCTGTGTTTCAGGTGTTTCGAGGGCCATCTTAGAGGCTGCAGGCCGCGCTGTTGAGCTGGAGTGTGCAAACATAGGTACAGTACATCTGAGTTCTCCTGGTTCCTCTGTCACAGCCTCATGCTCCGTGTGATTCCTGCTCTTTGTCTGCATAGTGAGTTCTTCTGGATATCAGCCCAGACCTCTGATCATCACGTCCGCGGGGCAGCTGCAGTGTCGAAACATCATCCACGTCACCGGAACCAACAAGCCCCCCGTGATAAAGGATCTGGTTTACTCTGTGCTGAAGCTCTGTGAGGACAACAGCTTCTCCTCTGTGGCCTTCCCAGCTATAGGCACAGGTCAGTCACTGTGGCTCTTACCAAGTAACAGAAAGTATGGAATCCATTTTGAGTCATATAGTTCAAAGAAAACACTTTTATAACACAAAATATTATACATTTAAATATTCCTCAATAAATAAAAGAATAAATAAAATAAGATATATAAGATTGCAATCAAATTATGTGTGTAATTGTGTAAAATATTTGTCTTTGTGGGACATTTGTGGATGTTTCCTGTTGAAGTTTTGGTGCTCAGAGCTTTTCTAATCTTCATCGTTCTCTGGTGGACGATTCTTCTGGAACAACGTGATTCTACAGTGGAAGAACTGGACAAACTCTGAGTGCGTACACATGCACATCAGTAACCCGGTTATTATCCATACCCCGGTTATGTCAGTATTCAGGTTACTGTGTTTACATGTGCACTGAGAAACCAGGACACTCATATCCGCGTGTACATGATCAAATGGAGTATCCCGGTTTCTTGACATAATCTTACAAATGCGAAAGCGCAAAAATTAACTTAAATCAATTTCATAAACCAGGAAAAATACAAACCGTGAGCTCCTTTAGCATAAGAAGCTAAGGAGCTACGAGATCTCCCACAATCCACTGTGCAGATTCTTCATTCAAATCTTCTGCATAAATAAACTCAACTTTACAACATATAAACCATAAACACTATAGACACATCAGCCTGTTTGATCAGATCATTCAGCTCTGATCACATTTGTTTACGTTTTACAGAAACGAAACTTAAGACCGTTTGGCTAATTAGCATAAACTGTTAGCGGCGATAAAAACAACTCGCTCCTTGCGCCGCTGATGCGATCAGGTTTTTTTGGACTAAATGACACGACTCTGTGGATTATGTGTGTTATTTCTGTGACAGAAGAGGCGCTAATGATGGTGAGTGTGTTTCGTGCGTATAGTGTATAGGAGATAGTTCATGTTTTAGCTTTTCAGCGCCACACGAGTGCAGGTCGTACGAGTGCAGATCGTACGTGTGCAGGTCGTACGTGTGCAGGTTTAGCGCAGCTCTTTATTTTACATCATTTCACTCGTTTGGTCACTTTATTTATGTTGGTCAATTTATTTATGTGACTACTGTTGTGGTGAAAGGCTGGAAAGTGTCTTTTGGACGCATGCGCACTCAACTTTATGTTGCAGTAACCGGGTACTGCGTTTACATGCCACAGTATCCCAGTTACTATCGGAATAACCCAGCTACAGTAACCCGGTTTCTAATAACCGGGATACTGCCATAACCGGGTTACTGAAACCGGGTTACTGCGTCTGCATGCACCATCAAGAAACCGGGATACTCAAAAAACCCGATCATAACCGGGTTACTGATGTGCATGTATACGCACTCTCTTTGTCTGTGCTACAGTCTGATAAAACTTCAACAGGAAACGTCCACATCAGCTCCGGGCTCAGCTGTCCGTCAAACATAAATGAGCCAATGGGAATGCACCATGGAAACCCCGCCCACCTGTCACGTTTGTGCCAAAACTGCACCAAAAAGTCAAATGAGAAGAAGAATCAAAACCAAAGAAAACAGCAGAAAAATGCAGAACAAAAATAAAATGTTTCCAAAGAGGCAAAGACAGAAATTTTACACAATTACACAAATAATTTGATGGCAAATTTATTTATTTTATTTTATTTTACTTTTTTGGTTGATTATTTTTATTTGGTATTTTGATTTATACATTTTTTTTGGACTCAACATTGATTCCATATTCTGTGAAGTTTCCTGTCCCTGGCTCAGGTCCGGTGCTGCTGACAAGTTTAATCTCAGACGCTCCAAAGTGTAGAGGAGTGTACAGAGACCTGTCTGACCTTGTACTGACATTCGCTGCTAGAGAGAAAAACGTGACTTGATTTGCAGCTTCTCCAGGTTACCTGTCGACAGGTGGCACCTGTTGGAGGCCCTTGATTTCTGAGTTTGTTGTGGATGTGTCCAGGGGCCGGTGGAGCAGACCCATCCCTCGTGGCTGAGGCGATGGTGGGGGCCGTGGAGGATTTTGTGAAAAAGAAGCAGCCAAAGATCGTGCGCAGGGTCAAGGTCCTGGTTTTCCAAACGGTGATGATCCCAGAGTTTCTCAAGAGCATGAAGTCCAGAGAAGGGCAGCCAGTCACGATTGGGTTCATAGACAAGGTCAAAGGTACAAATCATTTCAAATAAATAATTTTGCATCCACCATTTTTGATGGACTGAATATAATATTTTTGCTAGTGGTCAGCATTCACGCTTCATAGCACAAAGGTTCCAGGTTCAATCCCTCACAAAAGGATCAATGAAGTTTACCTTACCCTCCCCTGAGAAATGCACCTCGCCAGCAAATGTACCCGACCTTTTTGTCCAGGACAAAACCTAAATACACATAGGATCATTTTTCTCATGTTTGCATAATCTTATGACAGTGTTATTTTGCGAGATCTTGTGGCATGAGGTTATATCCTAATGTTATTCAGTGATTCGTTTTTTACATCTTCAAGACAAAGTCAAGCTCTTGCCCAGTGAGGCTCCAGAGTTTATTATTTTTATTATTGTTATTCAATGAGCTACACAAATAGAACAGATACAAAAGAAAAATATATTAGGAAGGAACCACAGAAACTGTAAATACATTTTGACTGCAGATATTAGCTTTAATAACTGATGTCTTTGTGCTTGTTTCAGCATTTGTTTCACCTCTAACGTCGTTCTTGGGGCTGAGCAGCGAGGGGCCGGTCAAAGATGCACCGGTTCTGGAGGGACAGGAGATTGAGCCCACAGTGTTCCAGCTCTGTGCAGAGACTCAGAGGGTAAGAGGCAACTTCACTGCACGGACTTAAATAATGTGAACTTAGAGGTAAAATGTTGGGTCCAGTTCTGCTCACAGGGTTATCGCCCTCAGGGGGATGGAGGGTCAGTTACTAATGTCCCAATCCACTTTTTACTTCTGACAGCTTCTCACCTGCACTTCCTACCCACAAATGCACGAAAATAAAATCATGTTTTTTCATTATGGATGTTTTTATTGCACCAAAAAAACCCAAATCAAATAAAAACATTCATACTCACCAGAGGTGGGGACGGGCAAGTCATGACTTGGACTTGAGTCAGATTTGAGTCACTGTTTTTAGGACTTGAGACTTGACTTGATAAAATAGACTAAGTTTTGGGACTCGACTTGGACTTGAAGGTCGATGACTCAGAACTTGACTTGGACTTGAGGCCTGTGACTTGATAAGACTTGATGCTTCTCTTAAAAATGTCTGTTTTTAGAAAATACTTTTCTCTTTACAGTTGGTAAATACAGTGATTAATTTTACAGGAACAAACTGGAACATTTCCCTCACACTTCTGTTTGGTACTTTGGATGGAACTGAAGACGACTTGGACTTGACTTGGATTTATGGACCAGTGACTCGAAACTCAACTTGGACTTGCCTGTATTTGACTTGGGACTTGACTCGGACTTGAGGTCAAAGACTTGAGACTTACTTGAGACTCATAAAACCACGACTTAGTCCCACCTCTGATTCTTACTGTGAGTGGACTTGCATCTCCACAAACCTGACTCTCTTTGGCTGGAGTATGTCGCAGTATGACACTGATCTCCTCATCCATCTCCATGGAAAATGTTCCTAAGTTTAGTTTAAACTTTCTTTTTCGATGGGATCAGGTGCCGTTCCACCTCCAGAAAGTTACAAACTGTACCTTTACGTGTGAATCAATTATTAACCCTGTCCCTAATTATTCTGTTTAAACCAGAATTGATTTTGTATCCACTTTATTCTGGAAGTTGGGTCATTCTGGTGTATAATTTTATTATTTTGTTTAGAGCTGCTGATCTTGACAACAAATAAGGCCAATACAGATGATACTTTTCACCATTTTAAAGCTCCACAGAGAATCAGTGCAGTGTTGACTTTTTGGTGCACATGAAAATGGAACATTTTACACAAATGAACCGACTTTATGTCACATTTAAGACACAAATGTTTCTCAAATTCTCCATTGACATGAATGGGATTCCTGTTTAACTGGAAGTGCCTCCACAAAAGTTCAGGAGCTGTTTTTAGAGCGTTTGGAGAGAAAAGTGGACGGGGTGGAATAAGGTGGATGAATTGCTGGTTATAACCTGTGTGTCAGATGCCCTTCCATCCTTCTGTATCTCTGTACTGTATAACTGAGATGGGGCAGAATCAAATGTCTCTAGTTAATCTGTCGCTTATATAAATCAAAAAATCATTTGTAGATTTTCCTTTTGGAAAGTCCTGATGAAAATCCCAGAGAATGACACAGACTCTGATTCTGAGGGACACGACTTTATACTGATGACCTGCTGTTTGTCCCCTTCTCCAGGCGATCACTCAGACGAAGCTGAGGATCGAGGACTTGATTGTGACGGAGCAGGCAGAGAGGACCATCTCAGACCCGCTCCTGGTGCATTTGACCCAAAGTGACGTGAAGCGGCTGAGTGAGATGCAGAAGAGCCTCACGGTGAAGATCACACTGGAGCGAAGGAACCCAGAGGAACCAACCATTCGCCTGGAGGGTCTGACCAGAGACGTGTCCGCGGCCGAGTCCGAAGTCAGGTCAGGACTGTCACAGGTCCTCAAGAGTCCGTCTCCATTGGCTTTGGACCATAACGTTTATGGTCCCAAAATGTCTTCACATTATAAAAAAAAGTTCAGTTATTAGCTGCAGTTCATCCATTTGTTTTAGAGGTGGGACGTAATCCCCATGAGATAAGACATGAGACTGGGTCTCCAAGAACCAGACAAGTTTAACATTGTCATTGTAGCGCCGCTGTTTGTTCTGCTGTTTGTTCTCTGAGTGTGATGCACCTGCATTTGTCCAAATGAAACACATGGGAGAAAATCTTGTGACAGTTTTATCCACTGAATGAACGTTGTAGTGTGAATGTGCAGCTTAGTGTTGGTCAGACGCACAAATCGACTGTCACACTTTTGTCACTCTGCCCCAGGGCAACTGATGTAAGATTTAATGAGAGATTTCACGATGTAATTCATAAAAGTATCATTTGTGTTCCTGTATTTCAGGGACATGATCCGTAAAGCAGAGCGCGGCGAGGCTCGAAAGAAAGACGCCTTTATCCTGAGCGGAGTGATCGAGTGGCAGTTTGTTCAAGACGATGGAGGAAAGAAACCGTTCGACCCGATGACCAACCTGGAGCTGGAGGAGGCCTTCATCCAAAAGAAAACCACAAAGATCATCATAAACCAGGAGACGTTCACCGCAAACCCACAGAGGATGAGAGCGGACGCAGAGAGACGACGCAAGACTGTGGAACTGATCCGGAAGGAGTGTAAAGGTGAGAGACAAACTAGGGCCGTGTGAAGGAGACGACTGGACTTTTAAATCGAGAGGTCCACGGTCTGTCAGTACAACCCACAGACTGGACAGAGAAGTGGACTAAGGCTACGTTCCGTCTGCAGCCTGAAGTTCCCAAATCAGATTTTTCACCCCTGTGCTTCTGTATCTGATCTGTTAATGACAGTCTGAACCACACAGATGCAATATTTTCAAATGTGACCCAGGACACTTAAATATGTTCTCCTAAAACCAAAACATATCTGACCTTTTGACATGTGACTTCAGTCTGAACGGCCAGGTCACATTCTTCCCACCGACGCGTCATCAACAAGCAACAAACGTCACTGTTCTGCGCTGAAGTACTTATGTCAGGGTCAAAGCAAAAACCAAACTTGCTTCTTTCTTTTAGACGATGCGTCGCTGCCGTCGGAGTGGAGCGACATGAAGAGCAAAGAGCTGGTGAAACTCGTCACACTTCAACCCGGGTCAACAGAGTACAACAAAGTGGAGAATGAAGTGACTCAACATGGACTACAACTCAACATCATCTCTGTAAGCAAACTGGGACTAGACCAGGACAAACCAGGACTAAACCAGGACTAAACCAGGACTAAACCAGGACTAAACCAGGACTAAACCAGGACTAAACCAGGACCAAACCAGGACTAAACCAGGACCAATTCAAACCCTGCATATTGAGGCTGGAGTGAAGCAGGTCTAAACCAGTTCGAATGTTTAACTCTTTCCTTTTAGATCGAGCGGGTGCAGAACCCGACCTTGTGGAAGAATTACCAGATAAAGAAGAAGGAGATGGACACTAAAAACCAAGGCAAAAGCAACGAGAAGGTGCTTTTCCACGGAACTGGAGCAAATTCCATCGACCTCATCAACAAACAAGGATTCAACCGCAGCTACGCAGGAGCTCAAGGTAATACAACACATCACCGCGACGCGTCACCGCGACGCAACACCGCGACGCGTCACCGCGACGCGTCACCGCGACGCGTCACCGCGACGCGACACGGCGACGCGACACACGGCGACGCAACACGGCGCACAACGGCGACGCATCACCGCGACGCATCACCGCGACGCATCACCGCGACGCATCACCGCGACGCAACACCGCGACGCAACAAGGCGACGCATCACCGCGACGCATCACCGCGACGCATCACAGCGACGCATCACCGCGACGCAACAAGGCGACGCAACACCGCGACGCATCACCGCGACGCAACACGGCGACGCAACAAGGCGACGCAACAAGGCGACGCAAAACGACGCATCACCGCGACGCATCACCGCGACGCATCACCGCGACGCAACACCGCGACGCATCACCGCGACGCAACACCGCGACGCATCACCGTGACGCAACAAGGCGATCACCACGACGCATCACGCGACGCATCACACGCGACGCAACACCGCGACGCATCACCGCGACGCAACACCGCGACGCATCACCGTGACGCAACAAGGCGATCACCACGACGCATCACCGCGACGCATCACCGCAACGCGACGCAACAAGGCGACGCATCACCGCGACGCAACATCGCGACGCAACACCGCGACGCATCACCGCGACGCATCACCGCGACACAACACCGCGACGCATCACCGCGACGCAACAAGGCGACGCAACCACGCGACGCATCACCGCGACGCATCACCGCGACGCAACACCGCGACGCATCACCGCGACGCAACAAGGCAACGCATCACAGCGACGCAACAAGGCGACGCAACAAGGTGACGCAACAAGGCGACGCAACACCACGACGCATCACCGCCACGCATCACCGCCACGCAACACCGCGACGCATCACCGCGACGCAACAAGGCGACGCATCACAGCGACGCATCACAGCGACGCAACAAGGCGACGCATCACAGCGACGCATCACCGCCACGCATCACCGCGACGCATCACCGCGACGCAACAAGGCTACGCATCACAGCGACGCATCACCGCGACGCATCACCGCGACGCAACACGGCGACGCAACAAGGCGACGCAACACTGCGACGCATCACCGCGACGCATCACCGCGATGCAACAAGGCGACGCAACACTGCGACGCATCACCGCGACGCAACAAGGCGACGCATCACCGCGATGCATCAACGCATCACCGCGACGCATCAACGCATCACCGCGACGCAACACCGCGACGCAACACCGTGATGCAACAAGGCAACGCATCACCGCAACGCAACACCGCGACGCATCACCGCGACGCATCACCGCGACGCAACAAGGCGACGCAACACCGCGACGCATCACCGCGACGCAACACCGTGACGCAACAAGGCGACGCATCACCGCGACGCAACACTGCGACGCATCACCGCGACAGCACCGCCTGCACGCACAACAGCACCACTCGCATGCAAAACAGCACCGTCTGTGCTCAGGGTTCACTTGTAGCAACCACTTACACCAGTGATAATTCAGAATTAACCAAGTTTCTTGGATTCAACTCTAAATCAGTTGACAGATGTTCAAGTTTTGCATGTTCTGCCTGTGTCTGGTAGGTTTCCTACTGGGACACTTGATGCATATTATATTTTTTTGCTGTGTCAATACTTGTTAAAGTTTGTACCTAGTTTAGTTCCAGCAGCTCTAAACATGAACACTAAACTAATCTTCCAGCTGATGCATGTGATCAAACCGAGCTCAAGATCTAGAGGTAAAACTCCAGGCACTGCACTCTGGCACTCAGTGCTCCCCACAGGTTTGACCCAGAGACACTGAAGGATGGGTCAAATGCAGCGTATGCATCACCTTCACCTACTGTTCAGCACAGTGACGTGTGTGGAGCAGGGTTGTCAAAAGTATTGAAAAATCTGATTCTACTAGAAACTAGTATCGAAACTAGTGTCGTACTCCACACTGGTCTTGGTCTCGACACCGGCACTGAGACCCCTTTTCCTGGTCTTGATCTCGTCTCTGACTCGGTTTTGTCACAGACTCGAGGTCTGACACTCGACAAGTCTGATCATATTTCATTACAGCCGCTGCTGTCGGCTATAAACTTGTTCGATGTGGGAGTGTGTGCGGCGTCTCACTGCAGCCTGTGCGCACTTCTGGAGCCCGCGGACACTGTGCGGCGTATCACCACACACGCCCCAGTGTGCAGTTTGTCCACAACAGCGTGTGCCCTCGTGTACCAGCGTGTATCACAGAGCAGGTTTTACTTTTTAAAACATCCTCTGTCCATCTGCCTCACGTCAGCGTGACTCTCCTCGTCTTTTCATACTCTCGCTCCTCTCTGCGTACAGCGAACAGGCTCCCTCCTCAATGCGCAGAGCAAGACAAAATGTGAAATCTAATCTAAATTTATGTTACTTATTCCTTAGTATCGAAATAGTTTGAAATGTTAGTATTTGTGACAAAATTACCTGAGACATTTTCTTTTCCTTCACAGCTGCGATGTACGGTAATGGGTCGTACTTCGCTGTGGACCCTGCGTACTCGGCTCGGGGATACTCCAAACCAGATAATAAGGGTCACAAGCGCCTGTACGTGGCTCTGGTCCTGGTGGGAGAATTCACTAGAGGTCAGGCGGGCATGATCACTCCTCCAGCCAAAAGCAACCCCAGCGACCTCTACGACAGCGTGACCGACCAAGTGCCCAACCCGACCATGTTCATCATCTTCAACGACGTGCAGGCCTATCCACAATACCTCATCACGTTCACATAAAACCTGGACTAAACTAGGTCTAAAACTGGACTAGACCAGGCTTTAACCAGATCTAAACTGGGACTAAACCAGGTCTAAACCCAAATTTAACCAGGACAATGAGGACTCCTTGTGTTACATCATCACATTTACTCAAACAAAACCTTTAATATCACAACTAATCCTGTGGTCAATTACACAGAACAGTCCGGAGCAAAGGCTTAACAGGGTCTAAACCAGGACTAAACCAGGTCTACACAAGGACTAAACCAGATCTAAACCAGGACTAAACCAGATCTAAACCAGGACTAAACCAGATCTAAACCAGGACTAAACCAGGTCTACACAAGGACTAAACTAGGACTAAACCAGATCTAAACCAGATCTAAACCAGGACTAACCCAAGTCCTGACTTCAGTGCCTCAACATCACATCCACCTAAAGCATTTACATTTACAATCACAATCACATAATCAATAATAAACATTTACTTGTGATGAAAAACTAGACTAAACCAGGACTTAACCAGGTCCAGAGTCGGTCTGATCCACTCGATTTAATCACAACACTTTCAAATTTACATCATAATTTATCACGTTCACCTGAAAGACGTGACGATAAAACCACAAACTGGAGTCTGCACTGAACCAGGATTATAACACATGACAAGGATTTAACGAGTTCTAAACCAGGTCTAAAACGGGACTTATGAAGACTTGAATCAGAACTAAACCAGGACTGTAGACAAGGACCTAATTAGGACAAAATTGGTAACTTAGACTAAATTACAGCTACATAAATAGACTTAAAACTAGAACTAAAACAAAACCCTTTATAGTCACACACTGGGTTTGTGGCGTTTTTATTTTCTTCTCTGTTTTTATCTTAAATCTTCAGGAAATAATGATGAACACATTATTATATTAATTTAGCATCAAGATTTACGCCGCCATTTTCCAGACCTGCAACTTGTTTCTAAGCCAATTCTTTATCTACAGTGTAAAAGCCAATGCTGCGTTACAGTAACATGAGTCAAAACTTTAGTCTCTTTTTCTGCACGTCTGTAGTTTCTCAGTTCACCAGGGGGCGCTACAGACACTGACAAAACAATGTCATTTACTAAACTATAAAAACATTGCACTGTTTCATTGTAATTTTCTTGTTTTATTTGGATTTAATCACGACTCGTCTTTAAATGAAGCACAGAAACAATCAGAACTCAAAGGGCTTTGTGATTAAATTAAAACTGTCTTGATTTCCAAATGTTACTCGTGTTTATAAAATAATGCCAAAGAAAATATTCTGCTTAAATAAAAAAAAATAAAAAAAATACTTAAATTAAAAATAAATAAATAATAAATAAATAAAATACTCTACTTTAAAAAAAAAAGAAAAGGAAAATACTCTCACTGGACACTTTATCAGGTACATGTTGTGGTTGTGGGTGCAAATCCAAACCAGAACTAAACCAAATATGAACCACATCTGAACCAGGACTAGCCCCAGATCAGACCAGGTCTAAAACAGAGACTAAATCAGGTCCCTACAAGTTCCTCTGTAACACAAGTTTGGAGTAAACCAGGTCTAAACCAGGTCTAAACCAGGTCTAAACCAGGTCTAAAACTGTACTATACCAGGACTTTCTA